TTTGATGGTGTTTTTTTTCCCCCTAAAACATTACTTCTTGGCAAACTAGATATGCAAATGCCAGAATACACTAAAACCACATTTAATTGGACCCACTTGCCAACTTCTTGAACACAGCTTGGATTATTTCACTGGAGGCTGCTTCTGTTAAAAGATGGGGGAGGAGGAAGTGGCATATTGACAAGGCTTCAGATAATTTTTTTTCCACTAGAAGTACAATTATGCTATGAGCCAAGTTTGGAAGTATTTTACTATGTTTAATAATAATTATTATTAAAGGATATTGTAAACATATGCATTTAAGTGGAATGCAATGCGAAACAATCATGTCACTAATTTAGCTTCGGATTAATTGTTGACTTTTTTTTTTTTTTTGGAGGGTAACTGACTTCCACAGTAACTGGAACCTGCACAGCGCTATGAAATACTGATTTAGAGAAAGGACATGTATTGTTTTTGCTAGCTAAGTGAGCTGATTAGAAAGATTCGTTCTTTTAAGAGATCTGTGAAATTTTCATCTCTGACTAGCAATCAGTTACAATATAAACCACATAACAGGATTAAAACTGCAAGGTTTAAGGAGTTCCCAGAATTTTCAAGCATACATAGTGGATGCATATGTTATACTTTAGTATTTCAAAGTGAAATAGAAACCACCAATAAATTATTACCCTCGTTACGTCGAAGCCAAGAAAACCAATAGAATGGGCTAAAATCCTTTTCTGAAGTCCCTTTCTTATGGATCGTATCTGCTGATGGCCACCTACCGATTTATTTAAGCTCTGGGACCCCAATAGTTGTGTCTTTGACTCTGGAGGAAGCCGGATGCCAGCCTAAGGGCAAGGTAGGTAAGCACAGGGGATCGGCGGAAATTTGGCCGGGTCAGGAATATGCTCATAGGTGATGTGAGCGGCCTTGGGGTGCTGATAATAACAACTTCCCTGGTGCCCTTTTGGCCTTGGGGACTAATTATCCCTAACGGAGGATGACCGCCAAGACGGGCCGTTCCCGCATTTCCCCCGCGCGGGGTGCCCCCACGCCGGGTCGCTGCGCGGCCCCAGCC